CGGATGTCCCTTCGCCCTTGCGATTGCCGCTTTTACTTTGGGCGACGCTCGGCGGTGGCCCTCCCGAGGCCGGGGCCCCGTCGCCACCGCCCCCCGCGCCGGCTGCAGGACCCGCGCGACAATTCGGCGCGAGTCGTGGCCCCTACTTGGGCGCCGTCGCGGTGGCAACATGGATTTGCCAGGTCCTCTTTGCTGCTGACCCACTGCGCCACCGCAGAACATCTCGATGCGTTTTCCGCCTCACGCGCACGCGCGACGTCGGCCTCTGGACGGAGACGCATGGCACCCAGGGCAGCGGAGACACTTGGCGCAATCCTCCTGGCTGCACCTCATGGTGGTCTCCAGGGCGCGTTGCAGGTAGCGCCGGGGTTGGCATCACGGTCAAGAACACCTTCCTGCAGCGCCTCACGAAACCCCCGCGGTGGAAGATCTTCCTTCGAGGTCGAGCGGCGGCCTTGCAGCTCCGCGGACCTGGAGGGGCCCTGGACCTCGTGGTCACCTACTTCCACGCTGGTACCACCGTCGCGCAGCATGATGTGGATGCCGCTGGCCTTGGACATTTGCACCGGACGCCTTCGTCAGCGGAGCTACGCGAGGCACTGCGACGACGGCCCGCCCAACACATTTCCCCCCAAGATAGTGTTCTCACCATTCTCGGGGGCGATTTCAACTGCGTCACGGGGGCGGGCGACCGCCGCTGCACCGCCGCAGCTGCGACAGCGGGCGGCCGCGACCGAGGCGACGAGGTCAGCTGGCAGCGTCTTCCTGCTCAACCTCATGGGCTGCGTGAGCTACATCAGCCCGACATGTCTTGCGCCTCTCCTTCCTCTCGCTCGCGCCTCGACCGGCTCTGCGCAAACCGATCAACTGTAGAAGACCCCGATAGGACGATGACTTGTGTTGCCCTCGCATGGTGCCCAGAGCTATCCTGGCACCGGGCTATCAGCTTTCGCCGCGAGGACCCTCGACGCACGCCGGATATGCGTGCTCCCCTCCTGGATCAGGTGATCGAACATCCCGAGTGGCCGCGGTTAGTCTGTTTGGCTCGGCAGGATTTTCTGAAGGACGAGCCCGACGCCTCCCCGATGAGGCAGCTGCTCCTCCTGAAGGCCGCCATGCGCCGCGCCACCCGCAGTCTGGATTTCAACTTCGGTGACATTGCGCACGCCGGCGCGCATGGGGATAGGCTTGGAGTGACCATGAAGCTCCTCCGTTTGTCGGAGCGCGGCTCCGCCACGGGCATGAGCCAGCGCATCGTCCAGTGCCCCATCTTCAAGGACCTGGTCGACAATGCGCACGACTGTGCATCCAATCCAGGCCGACGCCTGCGGCTGGTCCGACAACGTGCCATTGACTTGGCCCGCTCCCATGCCATCGACGAGCTCAGCCACTTGCACAACGATCTCCACGACCTTACGCCAGACCAGGCTTCCCGACTTCGGCAACGCAACCACCGCCAACTTACCCGGCCGAGGGTGCACCAATTACGCCGTCAACGACAGCGCCGCCCACGCGAGCACCGACCCACCCCACATCGCCCAGGAGCTCCGGCGCCATTGGTCCCGAGCTTTCAGCCGCAAGGGCACCGACCACACGCTGTGGCAGCAGTGGCGCGCGGACGAAGCGTCGCACTTCCCCGCAGCGGATAGGCAACGCGTTCCGGGCGAGGTTGTGCCGTTCGAGTGCTTCCAACGCGCAATCTGGCACGCGAGCAACAGGTCTCCGGGCCCCGACGGCATCCCATTCCGGGCGCGGCGGAAGCTGGGGGAGTTCGCCAGCCGTGCTTTGTGCGATGCGTTCTTGTACGAGTGAGCACCGACGGCTTGAGCCACCCGGGGACGGACTGGGACGATTTTAACGAGAGCTCCATGGTGTTCTTACCAAAGAAGCCCAGTGGCACAAACACGGACGGCATGGAATTTTACGCACTTTCCAGCACGCGGCCCCTCAACATCACCAAGGCGGACAACAGGATCATCGCCCGCGCGGTGCGCCTGTGGATCGAACCCGCTGTCGCTCCGGGAATCTCCGGCTCCCAGCGCGGCTTCTTACAGGGCCGCTCCACGTTGGCGAACCTCGTGGATATCGATGAGACAATGTCGCATGTCTCTTAGGACTACGAGGACGTGTCGGCCATCTTCTTCGACTTCGAGGCCCCCTTCCCCAGCGTCAGCCAGGAGTTCCTCATGGGCGCGCTGGTGGCCGGGGGATGGCCGGAGTGGTGCGTCACCGTGGTCAAGGCGTTGTACTTCCGCAGCTGGTGCCAGCTCATTGTCCAGGGCGCCAAGTTCGACAGCTTCGAGCTTGCCGCGGGGGTTCGGCAGGGCTGCCCGCTATCACATCTTCTGTTTGCCGTGCTGTCAGACGTTCTGCTGCGTCGGCTGCCCCGCTCGGTGCCGGAGTTGAGCCGGCGCGCCTACGCCGACGACCTCGCGGTGGCCCTCGCCCACAGCGCGCGGGGCGCGCCCGTCCTCGAGCGCGTTTTTGACGAGTGTGAGCGGCTGTCTGGTCTGAAGCTACACAGGGGGAAAAGCGCCTGGACGTGGTCCGAGTTCGCTTGCAGGCAGCTGCCCCCGCCTGAGGGGGGTTCACTGCGCGCCGGCACGCCGCGTACTTAGGCTTCGAGGTGGGGCCCGAGCGCACTCAATCGTCCTGGGCAAAGCCGCTGCAGGAGTATATCTCTCGGTCAAGGGCATGGCGTGCCGTAGGCGGCGGCATGCTCATCACCTCTCTCGCCTACCGCGTCTACATCTCCCCTGTCCTCTGCTTCGTCATGTTGCTGGACTGGCTGCCGCCAGACTGGGCCGAGCATTGGCAGAAGGCGTGCGCGCCGCTGTTCCCGGGGCCGCGCTGCTGGACCTCGCCGGCCGCTTTGCGGGACATGTGCCCATTGGGATTCCCTTCGCATATTCCCGATGCACGCGCCACCTCCTTGCAGCCAAGTGCAGGGTGCACCGCTGGGAGGCCGACGCCACCGGGGGCCTGCAGATCCCACGCCGGCGGCGTTTGTTGATGGGCAAAATTCGCCATTCGAGCATGTTCCAGCAGTTGGCTACATGGAGTGAGTGGTACAATGACAGTGTTATAGAGAATCTCGAGGTGGCGCGCAGTCCCGCCTCGAGGCTTGCACCGTCGGGACCGGACTCTCCGTCGTTCTTCTGGTCCAAGGTGCTTCTGCTACTCCGACGCCCCAGTCGCAATGGCAACGGCGCTGCCGCCAGTTGCTAACGCAGGCGAGCCCAGTGAGCACCACGCGTGAGTTTTCTCGCTCCCTTTGTCGCCTCCCCTTCACCTCCTTCCAGGTCGTCGCCTTCCTCGCGCGCTGGCGGTTTTGCGCGGTCTTGCGCAAGCCGTGCCTCCCAGGGCTTGGGCATCTCTGTACAGGGCCACGTGTGGCAGCTGGCAGACCGCCCGGCGATTTGGGCGCTGGGCACCTTGCCCCTTCGGGGAACCGCGCGGCGAGGAGAGTCTACAGCATTTCGCACAGTGCCCTTGCCTGGCGGAGCTAGGCTACAGGCACTTGCATCTGCCCCGCCCCTCCCCCGCAGCTCGTCTCTCGTTTTTTGTGGCTCTGGAGCCCGCGTTTTCCGAGGACACGGCCCCTCTGTTAGCTCACCGCGCCTTGGCAACCTATTGCACGTACGTTGCTTCCTGCGCGGCTCGTCACAATTCTACAGCGGATGCGGTTGGCGCCTGGTGGCAGTATGGCCGGGAGGCCTGCGCTGCGCGCCCAGCGCTGGCTGCCATAGTCGCCGCGGCGTGGCAGGAAACGCACGGTTGATAACTGCACGTTGGTCCAGTCGCCTCTGTCCCCGCCGCGTGCATTTCGCCGCAGGTTGGTCCAGTCGCTTTTGTCCCGGCCGCGTGGCCGATATGAGGTGGGCGTGGCAGTTTCCCCTTCTCCCCCCCTCCTCTCCTCCCTCTCCCCCCCCGCCCTTCTCCCCTCCTCTTCTTCCTGTGCATGTTGCATGTGTGTGTTGTTTCACAATGCCATTACCTAGCTACTCGCTGCTCCCGCAGTCCCCTGCGCGCCGATGGTCATGCCATGGTCATCATATCTGCACTGCTGCCGGCTCTCTGGCACGGGGGTGATACGTTTTCCGGCGAATTCGTATCTTGTGTTATTTGCTTTGTCGTTTCTTGCGTCCGTTTCCACACTCTTGGTGAGGAAGAAAATGGCTTTCAAATGCAAACGGCATTCGCGTTACGACAGTGGTTCTCGAATCTTGCGGTCCACTCCCATGTTCTCCCTCCCCCCCCAGAAAAAAGTGCGGTCCCGAACCCAATCTACTTTAGCCGCCTTCCTACTCCATGTCTCCACCTACTTGTTCCGAAACCGATACACTCCCTCGTTTTCACATTTTTGAGCCTCCTGGAAGGTCCTCGTTGCCACGGGTGGATTTGCCTCGAAATTCTGGGCACAACGCACCCCAGGACAGGTCCGCGGAACAGCGGCATCGGTACATGTTGGCTTCCGTAAGGGGACCGTGCGGGTGCCGCGGCTGCTCCAAAGCTCCAGGCCGCCCACAAGCGGCGCGAGGCGGAACCCGATGATCTGTTTCGTGCTGACGCCGCCGGTGCGTCGGCGATGCGGTGCGAGCCTCCGACCCCGTCTGCTGTGGCCCCACTTGGACGGCCTCCACAGGCTCCCCGCGAGATTCCGCCAGAGGCGCGGGTCCAGAGGCACCTGAGCGATGCAAAACAAGGGGGTCGTCTGCGCCGGCATTGGCGCGCAAGCTGCTCGCGTAAGATCAATGCGTCATCTCGCGTGAGGCCCATTTTTGATCGCCGCTCGCCTGGCGAACGGGACAGGATCTGTCCTGTTACGCCCCTTTGCCGCCGTGTTCTCTCACACTTCTCACGCCACCAGGTTCGGAGAACTACCCCACCACCGCCCTCAATTGCCCGCTGCATGTGATTCCCCCTCTGCGACCGCAGGTATTTGGGCTCAAGGCGATTCACCCCGGGATGCCAAAGGCAAATTCGCCTTCGTCGGAGAGATGGCGTCTGCCGCTCCAGCCTCAGGACCAAACTCAGGCTCAGCAGACGAGGTAGGCAGCGGGATTGAGAGATATTCGATTCCATGCGGCAGTGTCGCTGGCGTGCCAATCAGGCTACATTTGCTGCTTCCGCTGGTGATGCTCCTGTCTGCTGCGGCGGCTGCATTTGCGGGCCAAGGGATCACCGGTGTATTCTTCGTTGTGCTGGTGAGTGGACCGTTGGTGCTTCTCACTGTCCTCGTTCACGAGCTTGGCCACGTATTGGCAGCGCGACGCTGCGGCTGCACGCCCGACTCTATCTTGCTGTGGCCGCTCGGTGGTCTCGCCCTCATTGACGCGAGCGCAATCGGCCCCAGGCAACAGATAGTCATTTCTGGAGCTGGACCCGCAACGCACCTGCCCATGATAGCCATCTGGATGGCACTGATGGCGGCCACGAATGACGGACAAGTCACTACCTCCACGGCTGGTATGTCATTCGAACATCATTTCATAGCATTGGTTTGTGTTGCCATGTTGCTCAACAACATCGGGATGTTTCTGTTTAACTTGTTGATCCCATGCTTTCCGCTCGATTGTTCCCAAATTATATTGGCTTCAATGCTCCTTTGTGGCAGTGAGGTAGGGACGGCCGCTATGGTCATGGTTGGTCTCTCAGCCCCAATCCTCGTGATTCTGGCGGGCATCGGCATTTATGGTTACTTCACGGGCACCCCATCGGCCACCCTACACATTATGCTGGCGGTCTGGCTGGGAGCACAGTCTTGGAAGCTTCATCAGGCGCGTCTGGAGGGGCGGCTGGCGTCCTACCCCCTCTTCGCCAACGCGATGCGAATGCAGGCTGACTGCAGATCTGGACCTGCCAGTGCGGGAGATTCTGGTGGCCGTGCTGGGTCGTTCAAGCCCTTCCAAGGCGAAGGCGTCACACTGGGTCGTCCAGCAGCTCCTCCGCCGTCGAGCCAGGTCTGCATGGGGGCCGCGCTCGCAGCCATTGTTGCTGTGACTGTCGCTTGCCAAGTTTCTGCGCCAGGGACGCAGTGATCTGGCCACCAAAGATAAGCAACCTTGTGGGCGCTGAAGCCCCTGCGATATACGATCGCACCCGCTTGGTAGAAGAACTCCAAAGCAAGGCATCGAATTCACGACGTATGCTAGCAAGTCTAAGCATACAGCTAACAAAGTCACAGCAGCCCAGATAGCCTAAGCACCAACTCTGCATGATAAGGCACATGGCGGCACGGCACGACACTGCATCTGTTGTGCGCTCCTACAGTCAGGCACGGTACGGCACGGCAACCTAGTCGTTGTATGAAAACCAGGCACGTCATGGCTATCTTTTTCCCAATCTGAAGACCAGGCACGGCATTGCACGGCCATTTGTGCACATTTCGGAAACCAGTCACTGCACCGCACATCATTGCGTTCGAGTTCTGCAGGTCCAGGCACGGCACGCCACGGCGATTCCTCCACGTTCTGAAAACCAGGCACGGCACGGCACGGGACGGCACGGCAATTCTGTCGCATGTTGAAAGCCATTCACGGCACGGTACGGCAATTTCTCCACATTTTGACAACCAGGCACAGTACGGCACGGCAATCCTTTCGCGTCCTGAAAACCATTCCCAGCGGAGCTTTAAGGCAGCCTACCAGGGCCTTAAGACGGCCCAAGAGCCGCCCAAGTGGAGCCTCCAGGGCAGGCCCGAGGCTTCTTGAGGGTTCCTGAGACTGTCAGGACCGGTCGGAGACCGCCGAAGATGGCCCGCGAACGTTCCAAGACGCACAGAGATGGCGTCGGGACTTGCCAGGAGAAGCCCAAGGCTAAATTCGTTGATTCCCTGTGGTTTCTGAAAGTTTTTCTCACTTCTTGGTTCCGTCTCCTGTTGGAGGCTCCGAAGTTATCCAAGAGGGTCCCGAGACTCTCCCAGCGGATTCCTCGGACGAGCCAAGAGCCTCCTGGAGGGCTCCAGACACAGACGGCCCGCGAGCGTTGCAAGACGCGCAGATATGGCTTCAGGGTCTGCCAGGAGGCGCCCGCGAGGGCTCCAGAGGGCTTCCCAATGGAGTCCTGAGACGCTGAAATCGCGAAATTTATGTGTTTTCTCCACGTTGTTTCACTTCTCGTGCTTTCTTCTTTTCCCCTTGTTCGAGGCTGCCAAATTTTCTTCGAAGATTCCCGAACCTTCTGCTGGCAGGAGGCCGCCTGGGAGGCTCCATGAGAGCTCCTAACTGGGACTTGAGCCAGGCTTCCCGCATTTCCACTGGTAGTCCCTGTGTTTATTGCCGCAAAACTCGCTTCCGTTGTCTGGGGCTCCACGCCCGACCAGGAGACTCTCAGCCAGCTTTCTGACTGCCCAGAACGCGCCAAGGTGAACTCCCAGCTGGCCCCACAGAGCTTCAGGACGGTGCCAGGATCGCCCAAGTGAAGCTTCCTGGAATGGTCCGACGCCTTCCAGCAGGATCAGTTTGAAACCGCCGACGAAGCCTTGTGCCAGTTTCGAAGCGCGCTTAGATAGCTTGGGGAGGCGCCAGGAGGCTTGCAACGGGACTTCGGGAGGGTCCCCGAGGCGGCCCTGCGAGAAGCCTTCCAAACAACACGTCCCCAGAATGCCTTTTGGAAACAAAATTCCTCAGGGGTGCCCCCTGGTTCCTGAAATGCGATGTCGACGCTGGAACTGCCCGCGCAGTTTCCCAAGACACGCACTGCGCCTCCAGCGTGGCCTCTCACACGCCAAACGCCATTCTGGTAACCCCCACTGCGCCATCCTGGGAACCCCCACTGCGCCTCTGGGAATGCCTCCGCAATTTTACGCTGAGGACGTTGCGTTTCGGCCCCTGTCTATGTTGGCATCCTTTCTCTCAGAATATTCATCCAGTGGCTTTCGGGGCCATTGCTACGGCATAGAAGGAGGTTGCCCACGATGGGGTCATGCTTCATTCAACACTTTTGCCGCGCTCGCTTTCGTGCGCCGCGAGATGGGGAAAATAAAAAGAGCGCCTTCAAAGAAGCCCAAATGCTCCCAAGAGGGCCCCGATATATCCACGGGGGACCCACCGCAGATCCCCAGGAGCGCCCCAAGACGGCCCTGGCCTCCCAAGACTTCCCGAGAGCGCTCTAGGACGGCCTGAGAGGGCCCCAAAACTAAAATCATGAGGGTCGCAAAGAAGGCGGCGAAAGTTTGCCCCTTTTGTATTATTTCCGTTTTCGGTCTTTCAGCCGCTCACGACGGCTTCAGAGTCACTTTCCTGATCGCCCCATGATCCCCGCGACAGCCCTCGAGGCGCCCGAAACGACCCGCGAGCGCCCGACGAGGGCCCCAAAGAGGGGCTCAGGAGAGGGAGCTCGAACTGACAGTTCGAGCCCTCCGCCCCAAGAGAGCCCCCGATACTGCCACCAGGCCAGGCGTCCCAACTCCCCGCCAGAGGACAGGCTTCCGCGACGCCCCCAAGAGACCCCGAACGGACACGCGGTCCCCACGAGGCCCCAATCGATTTCAGAATTGCCGCCGCGAGGCTGACCAGAGGCTTCCGAGAGACTACGACGGGCATCTAGGAGGCTTTTGACACGCGACCGAGGTACGGTGGCTGGATGGGACGACGGGCGCTATGAGTGGCAAACGAACCAAACAATCGACTTGTTCCTTTCGGTTTGTGATTGATTTCAGCGCTGCCCCAAACCACCCGACGATGACGTCGACGATAGGAACAGCGGCGACGAAACCGACGACGACAGCGGCCACGGCGACGGCGACGGCCACGGCGAAGATGGCGAGCCGCTCCCCCAGAAAACTCAAGAGGACCCCAAGAGGCCACTCATTTCATCGCAGCGCATCTGTATCAGCCCAGCCGCTCTGCAAACTCTTCGGGGACTTTTCCGGGGAGGATTGGAGGGAAGATCAAAAGAGAGGGAGGAGGCCGCGGGGCCGCCGAGCGGCCGCCACAGAGCGCCACGCCTTTGCCGCCGCCAGTATCGCCGAGGCCGCCCTCGGCGACGCTGCCGGCGGTGGCGGCGCCGCCGCGGGCCTCAAGCAGTGGCGAAGCGTCCTACTAAACGTTGTTCTAAGGACCTTGTGTGGTCCCCACGAACTGTTCTCAGGAACATTTCTGGTTGAGGCTGTCTTGTTTTATCACATCGGGCTTATCTTCTGAGAACCTTGCTTTTGTTTTTCGAACACTTTTGGGTTATACGAACATGTCGTGGTTGGACTATAGGAATGCAGGGACGGTCGGTCCCTGCTCAAGTCGGGGGAGCGTAAGACCCGGGTTTGCCAGGACTCGGGTTCGCCATCGTTTTTTGACGACCGCGACTCGGATTTTGACGAGTAGGAGTTTCGTGGGATGTCTGCAGCGGGAGGCCTCGTCAAAATGCAGGCTCGGCCTCGTCATTTTTTTGACGACCTCGTCGGGGATTTCCGAGTCCCCTGTACCCGGGTCTTACGCCCCCCTGATCAAGGGCCAAGCCCCTTCAAACGGGGCGTTAGTAAACGAGGCGGTAGGCAAGGGGCCTCTTCAAGCGAGAACGGGGCGACAGGGCATGCACCTCGCACGAGTGCGTGAGGAATCGGGACGGCAAAAGCGTCGGTGCATCATCGGAAGGGTATACCCCGCACGGGTATACCCCGCACGCGTGCGCGGCAGATCATGTCTTGGAGAGCGCCACTGAAAACGCGCACCCTCAGCTCACGGTCCGTTTGCGAACGCCACGTCTGCGGAGGCTCGGGCGGGGCGGCCGCTGACAGGGGATCTTCGAGTACGACTGGGAGGTGCGCGACTTCCGGCACGGCAAGGACGTGCGGGCGGGGCGGGGCTCTCCGGGGGAGGCGGCGGGGGTCTCCACGCAGGCGGGGGCCGCCAGGTCGCCGGAGCTTGCAGGATCCTGCAGAGCGTGAGCGTCGCGGGACGGGTGGGGCGATAAAGCGGGGGCCTGGCATCGTTCGGACGTGTGTATTTTTTCCTCGGCGAGGACCCTTGAGGAACATCCCAGATCATCGGGCGAAGAAAAC